CTTCATCATCATCAGAGCTGTAGAGTAACTGTACAGACACTCAGTCCAGCTCCTCTGTATCTTCACATGAACACTCCTTCATCATCATCAGAGCTGTAGAGTAACTGTAAAGACACTCAGTCCAGCTCCTCTGTATCTTCACATGAACACTCCTTCATCACCACTGCTTTTAAACACAGTGGTGATGTTACTGGGCGCAGAGACTCCAGTGTGTTTTATCACAGTGATGTCACTGGGCTCCAGTGTGTTTAATCACAGTGATGTTACTGGGTTCAGAGACTGGAGTGTGTTTAATTACTGTGATGTTACTGGGCTCAGAGACTTCAGTGTGTTTAATGACAATAATGATTCTGGGCTCAAAGACTCCAATGTGTTTTATCACAGTGATGTTACTGGGCTCAGAGACTCTAGTGTGTTTAATGACAGTGATCTTACTGGGTTTAGAGATTTCAGTGTGTTAAATGACAGTAATGATAATGGGCTCAAAGACTCCAGTGTGTTTACTGACAGTGATGTTACTGGGCTCCAGTGTGTTTAATCACAGTGATATTACTGGGCGCAGAGACTCCAGTGTGTTTAGTGACAGTGATGTTACTGGGGTCCAGTGTGTAAAATCACAGTGATATTACTGGGCGCAGAGACTCCAGTGTGTTTGATGACAGTGATGTTACTGGGCTCCAGTGTGTTTAATCACAGTGATATTACTGGGCGCAGAGACTCCAGTTTGTTTAATGACAGGGACATCAGAAGACTTTTTGAGGGGTTCTTGGTACACACCAGGAGTACCCAGTCTTTCTGCTGGAAGACTGCTGTGTTTATAGGTATTGATTCCAGCCTGACAGCGCTCATTAATGGCTTAACTGGACCAGTTTAGGTGCTGCTGCTTTTTATGAAACCAGAAGCACCTGCAGAGACACCAGGATTCCTCCAGAAACTAGAACTGGCACAAAATAAACCACAGCTTCCCAAAAGGTGGCCAGCCACCGAGGAGAGGCCAAAATTGCTGTGCCTTTAAATTAAAAAAAAAAAATACAAAAGTACATTTTTGGCACAGTTTCACATCTCTGGATTACATTCCTGGAAAAAAAAGAGAACATAACTTTTTGGGCTAATTTTAAGCTTCTCCAACCCCAGGGAGCAAAAGGCCTTTTAAAAATCCTGTTCATTTGCGAACAAAGAAAAAAAACACCAAACAGCAAACAAAATAGTGTGAAGGCAGGCAGAGGACTCGAGCCATGACTACATTTATTAGGAATTATGATTATTTAAAACCCGGCTATTATGAATGTGCAATGTACACTCCAGGAAGTTAAAGATAAAGCTTGTTCAGCCAGGTACAGTGTAGCAGCCTAGGGGATCGCTTTGTAATCGTTTTACACGTTTTAAGAAACAACGGCAGCAGTGCTCGGGTGTTTGTGGCAGAGAGCTGCTGATCGGCGAGCCTCTGCTCATCGCGGTCACGATTCCGATCGCTTCATCGATCGATCGATCGATCGGCGAAAAGATATTAAGGGTTGACCAGCGCGAACACGCTCTCTGAGCCCAGGGACAGGACGCGACAAGGGTTCGATTTCAGGCTCAGGTACCTCGCGGAACGCGTCGTTATCGCCACGCCGAGGTAGCCAGCAGCCAGCAGCCGGTGTCCAAGGGGGAAAGTCGGGACTTGTGTGACACCTTAGGATCTACAAACACGCCGCCTGAACCCCGCCGACTGCTAACTTACCGCTCCTCGCCGCAGGACGGCGCAAACACGCGCTCACACACGGCGGCACGCGTGGAAAGTTCGTGGTTGCGATCTCCACGCGTGGACGCGCACACGCACACCGTCAACACACAGCGCAGCTCCGGCTCGGCTCGGCTCGGCTCGGCTCGGCAAGCAGCGGTCCGGTTTACCGCGGTACGGCCCGGCCCGGTACATGGCAACCGTGTCCAGGAGAGGACCGGAGATGCGACCGTGCGTCACTCGCAATCGCGAAAACGGCAAAGGGGGGTTAGTTTACCTTTCCAAATCCGCCGGTAAGCGCAGGCTCAGGCAGGCGATAACATCCTCTCCTCCACCGCCTCCTCCCCCCTCTCTCTCTCTCCTCCTCTCTTTCTCTCTCCTCCGCCTCTTTCTCTCTCTCCCCCCCCCTCACAGCCGGAGGTTCAAGCCTCGGCCGGGGCGCTCGTCTTGGCCTAGGGGGGCGGGGGTGTGGGGACAGGGTGGGACGGGACAGGGGGGGCGGACGCTCGGGCTGGCTAGCCCATGGAGTAGCAGCAGCCGCCCCGGTCGTGTCTGTCGGGCGCCGGGCCGGTCTCCCGGCTCGTCAGCGGCTCACGGGCAGCGGATTGGGGAGAAAGCTAGCGGCTCTGTGGGAGGGGTGGGCTCTGCGTACCTCCTCCTTCCCTGCCTCTGCAAGCCGTCTTATTTTACAGTCCTCTGTCATTTTGCTCTTTTTCTCTCCCCTCTCCCCTGCTCTATTTCAGGCTGTGGGTTTTCTCGTCCGCCCAACACCACGGTCTCTCTCTTTCTCTCTCTCTCTCCCCCGGCCGCTGCGAGACAGCGGTATCAACGGCCGATTTTTTTGTTTTGAAAAAAAAAAAAGGGCGGATTTTGTTCGCCTCGAGCACCTCGCAGCTCGCGAAGAGCAGAAGTGACGCATCGAGGCGGGAAAGTTCAAAGTGAAGGGCTCTGAGGCGCGTGCCGCCGCCATCTTTGTCGGGGGCAGGTGGCGTCTTGTGCGCGCATCCACCTGCAGAAGGCTCCACGACAGAAACGTTGTGTTTCCTTTTTTTTCTTTTCAGCAGGGGATAAACCTTTACTTGTTCCTTCGCAGCTTACGCATGCTGACGCAGCCACCTACTTGAACTATTTACAGATACATCATAATAATAATAAACTTTATTTTATATAGCGCCTTTATAGGTGTCTTTAAAGTACAGACCCATCTACAGATAGGGTTACAGGACTGGCTTTACAAAGTTGATGGGGCGGGGGGGGGTTGCCAATAAGCATGACTTCAGTCTTGTCACAGTTAAGAAGAAGGAAATTTAGAGTCATCCAAGTTTTTATGTCAGAGATGCGATTAGATAGAACAGAGACAGCCACATCAGTGTCAGGTTTGGTATGGATGTATATTTGAGTATCATCAGCGTAGAAATGATAGCTGAGGCCATGTGATCTTAAAAGCTGACCAAGTGGAAACATGTAAAAGCTGAAGAGCAAGGGGCCCAGTATTGAGGTATATAACATATCTATTGATATTTGGATATCAGATTATTTGTAAATTAATGAGTTCCGGGATAAGGTCACGAGACGAAGGTATTCACCACATATCACGTGGAAATAGCTTTTCTATAAAACTCAGACGTCTAATAAAATACTGTAGAATAGTGTCTCAGACGTCTAATAAAATACTGTAGAACAGTGTGCACGCAGCATCTGCAGTTTTACCTGTGGCAGCGTAGTCAGATGCAGACAGCTAAAGCCATGAAAGACTTTTTATTAAATCAGCGCGCCCTTCTGTGACCGGCTGGCTGCTGATTGCTGTCCTCCATCCTCAGTCCAGTGTTGAAACGCATTTTCTACGCCGAGTCGGATACCGGGGGCTGTAAACCCCCCCCCCAACCCGGGTTTCCTTGGCGCGCTGGCGCCCTCTAGCGGCGAGCCTCGGTACGGCGGGTCCCCGCTCGCCGGAACACGGAGCGGACTCGGGCCCACCGCGCCGCGCCTGCAGAGTCGAGTCGCGCAGGGCTGAGCCGGCGTGGGCCTGCGAGACCACACGGCGCGGGGGTGTAACTAAAGAGGAGAATCACTGGAGGCAAGATGCAGAATTATTCAAAATGAACAAAAACAAAAAATAAAACGTCGCAGCCGCTGATGTGGCACTGATGTGCTCCATCTTCAGGCGATGTGAACAGAATCTGAAAGGCTGCGGCCTGCCTAGGCGCTGTGGGAGGTGCCAGATTACAGGACAAGTCGTGCCCCCCCCGTATCCCATGATGCACTAGGAAACCAGTGTCTCTGCGCGACTGGGCACAGCTGGGCTTCAGGAGGCGCCTGGGATTGGCCGACCTGCTCCTCTGTTCAGACTCCGACCCTACGCAGTTTTAGATCCGTGCTGGTGGATCCACGGCTCCACTGATCTCGGGATCTGGGGATCTCGGGCAGGAATCGCAGTCGATATCAGAGCCAGGGGAGAGCAAGAGTACCGCCAAGGCAGGGACACCTCCTGATGGCTCAAGAGGAAGAGGAGCGGTCCTGCGCTGCTGTTGGCCGTCTGGCCCCGGTCAGAGGCGGTGCGCCCTGCTGATGAATAGAGCTCTTCCCTGTGGCAGGTGTTTCCCGTTGGGCCCCTGCTTGCAGCCCCGCTGATCCCCCAGGGGAGCTCAGAGGCGGTGGGTGACGCAGGCCTCGCCCTCGTCCTGCCTCTCGTCCCCCTTCTCGCCCGGCAGCCCCAGCTCTGCCTCCTCCGGGGGAGGGGCCTGCCCGCTGGCGGTGTCGCCCGAGCCGAGCCCCGGCCCGGGGTGGTGGAGCTCGATGAGCAGCTGGTACAGTGCCGTGCCTGTCAGCGCGCCCACCAGGGGGCCCAGCAGAGGCACCCACCACCAGCCTCCCCCAGCCCTGCGGGAGAGGAGGAGGGAAAGAGGGGGGTAAATTAAAACACAAGAGGGTAAAAACAGGCCTGTTTTTTTCTGTGCTTTTTACCCTGATCTCACTGGGCTTTCCTGCACTGTACTGTGCTTTCACTCTGATCTCACTGGGCTTGACTGCGCTGTACTGTGCTTTTACCCTGATCTCATGGGCTTTACTGCACTGTACTGTGCTTTTACCCTGATCTCACTGGGCTTTACTGCACTGTACTGTGCTTTCACTCTGATCTTACTGGGCTTGACTGCACTGTACTGTGCTTTTACCCTGATCTCACTGGGCTGTACTGCACTGTACTGTGTTTTTACCCTGATCTTACTGGGCTTTACTGCACTGTACTGTTTTTCCATGCTGGTGAACTGCAATAATAGTTTCTAAGGGGCACACAAAAGGAAGACAGTGACAAGTGTGCACAGTGAAACTGTTTTGGAGTGGGGGAAACCCCTTTCAGGAAATCGTGCTTAAGACGTTTGGCTAAGACTGGTTAAGACTTTTTATTTGATAATTAAATCAGGTTTTAAAGCTATTAGAAATGTTACTGCCATTATTTAGAAAATATTGCGAGCAGAAATGCAGGTGAGCAGATCCACAATGAGGGGCAAAGATTTGGGGTTCCCTCAGGGCAGACTCTGGGCTCCCCCAGTCCCTTTCCTCAGAGCCATGACGGCAGACTCACGTGAAGACTTCGCTCCCCCAGCCAGCAATGTAGGTGAAAAGTCGGGGCCCCAGGTCACGGGCGGGGTTCAGGGGGTACCCACAATTACTCCCAAAGGAGATGCCGATCGCCAGAACTACCAATCCCACCAACACCGGCTCCAGACCCGGGGGGGCTGGGCTGTTATTGACATCACCCAGAGCCAGAACACACAGCAACAGCATCCCAGTGCCTATGACCTGAGAGAGAGAGGGGTTA